TATATATATATGTTAATCAATAACAACATGGTCTGCATACAGTGTGAATCAGAACGTATCCGAAAAAAAAATTGAATCGATGTATACTGGTTTCAACAAATTTTAATGCGCCAAAGGGCAGTACTTCATGGCGGTTGGTGCGACTAATGTGTGCCATTGTTTGAGATCACACTAACTTGTCCGTGGACATTTATGAAAAATTACAAAAGCTTTAAAAAAAATTAATTTTCAGAATGGAATTTGAGAAAACAAACTTATACGTGTTTCTAAAGGTCAAATGTAGCCTCCGTATAAATGGGGCATGTAGGGGAACACAAAATATGGTGATTTAATGCAAATTACCTTTATACTAAGCTGTACCCCTGAGATGTTATACGTAGGCCTTGAAAGTGGGGTTTCAAATTTAAAAAAAAATCAATATTCGAGTTACACTTGAACCTACAAAAATCAAATTTGGTGCATGGTATGAGTGTACCAAGAGCATTAATTGACAGTAAGTAGAGTTCAATTGAAGCATTTGAAAGGGTTGATAAGGGATGATGCACCATTAAAATGCGACGGAATTTTTTAACCCATTAGCACACTTAAAAAATTCTTACTTTATTTTATGGCGAATTTTATTCTAAAACTTTTCTTGCTCTTGTTAGTTTTCAAAAAACTTTGTCATTTTCAACAAAAACACGAATAACTAATAATACGTATTGTAGCCCTTTTATTTCAATATCATCATAGAATCATCAAAAATTCAGAAGTTGCCTATGAATTTAAACGTCAAACTTGAATAATATAATAGAAAAACAAACAACTGAAACAACAGAAATAACATATAATTTGCAATGATAAGTTATAGCATGTCAACTTGTTCGCTAAATGAAAACTCCCCGGCCATCTGCAAAACACTCGGTAAACAATTATTAAAATTAAAAAATGACTTTTTTCCTGATCGTCAAGTTAGACATTTAAATTCATAGCCAACTTTTGATTTTTTCGATAATTTTAAATAAAACAGCTACAATACTGTTATTCGTGTTTTTGTTGAAAACGACAAAGTTTCTTGAAAACTAACAAGAGTAAAAAATGGTTTAGAATTAAATTCCCCATAAAATAAAGTAATAATTTTTTAAGTCTGCCAACATGCCCCTGCTCTGTGTTGGTTCTTATGCGAAACACCCTGTATAAATTTGTGATGTAAATGAGTCCAGTGAAACCTATTACAAATACACAATATGGGTATTTTTTTAAAATTAGAAATATGGAAGACAATAATTTGCATGTGCACCAGCAAATTCTAAGTTCATTGTATCATGTGCCAAAAAAATTATTAGACTAAGATTTCACTTTTTCTATTTCATACCGCAGGTTAACTCTAATGTATGGAAGTTTAAAATAAGGGTAATCGGTTTTAAGAGACAATTAAAATTTAAATTATACAGTAATCTTCCCTCAAATTTAAATTTCGTAATAGAGACAACCTTAAACTATTTAAAAATTAACTTCAACAAGTTAAATACTATCATAAATATTAATGTAGTATAAAATTAAAAAAATCAACATTTCACTGGTTTTAATAGTAAACAAACCTTTAACTAAAGCACATCAAAAATATATTCCAAAAACATATTGCAATGCACCAATAAGGGATATTTTCGAATTAAGACAGGATAATTTTTGAAACACTGACTTTACTGACGAAGTTTTGTTTAATGTAAAGTAGATATACCTTAGATATCTAAAGAAAACTTATGATAGTATTGTCAAAATCCACTGGATGGTATATTTTCAAACAATTCAAGTCCTGAAATTTTTCTACACCGAACCAGTCTATTATGTAAACATTTTTCAATTATACTTAAAATTGTTGCGAGGTATAACGACTCCGAAAACTCCTTTAACCGCATACACATTTTTTAATATCTCTCTTTCTGTTGCAAACACAATACAAATAAATAGATTAAAATGTTCAATTATTCATGAATTTTTTTCTCAGAAAATATGCTTCTAATCGAAAAATTACTAGATATACTTTTTACTTAAAATTTCATGTAGGATTAGACAATATTGTTTATTTTTCGATATATTAAAATTTTAAATATTCGGTCCGCCATATTCGATCCACTATATTCGATCCGCCATTTAATGGGGAGAGTCACCGGTTTAATTTGTGTTTTTAAAGATTTTAATAATATTACGGATAAATATGCTGAAGATATTATTATATTTTTTAGGAATTACCATTTCATTATTGTTATTGTTTTGTTTCTTTATAAACTGCTCTGCAGATTTAATTTCTTCTAAGGTAACACCTTGAGTGGATCTTCTCGTTTCACGAACTCGTTTGGCATGGGCTTTCCTTTGAGTTTCACTTTCTTCATCTCTCACTGGTGGAACAAATGATCTAAAAACAAAATTATCATTTAATTTCTGGAAATGTTTATTTATGGTTATATTCCAATTAGTCTATTCAAATTAATATTAAATTAATGCAAAAAATATTGTAGATTTATGAAATAACTTTATTATTAACAATGGCGGGTAGAGAAAATTAAAGTGGTCATAGTTTGATAACGAAGCATAGAACCCATACCATTTTACGCTTGCAGATTAATGAAAAAGAAATTTCAAACAAAATTTATGACAAAATTGAAATATGGCTGAATATCTATAAAGGAGACCTTCTGGAAATAGGCTTTTCAGTGAAATTTCCTGAAAACTTTAATATGTTGGCTCTTTTTTATTACTGATCAAAAGTCTTCATGGCTACGAAGCTTCAAATGCTCATCTAGAGGCAACCACAACACACATTCCTCTGGTACATATAAATATGTATATTACCTTATACAGAGTGCATTTAAATGAAGGAACACTAATGCTACTAAATAATATTGAAGTTCCTTTATTTGTAAGTGTCGAGGTGTTCAAGTTTTTGAAGATCAAAAATATGTAAACAATGTAAAAGATGTCTGATGTAGATTAATGAAACATGAGCTTGTAACTTAACTAAATGAAGGTAAAAATTCATTAAATCTACAAATTCAGGAATTTCATCACCACTGACTGATTTGAAAATTGATTGACAATTGCATTTCTAAAGATAAATATATCAGCTATTTTTTTCGCAAAATGAGCAATTTTTTGGGTAATTATTATTTGTTTCACAAAAATGTGGGAAAATTTTTTGTTGTAAATAGTTTTAAAATATACCTACATAATGCAATCATTAAGATAGTAAAGGGCAAATTTCTGTCATTGAATTTTCTGGACATTTAATGATTAAATTGCATTTATAATAAAAAATTACCATACATTGGCTCTGTTAAAGCTTTTAGATTTTTAATTTATTTAAAGAATAATAGGTAACTCAAAAATGATTCGTTTTTTGAATAATAATTTTTATTTTTAATAAGGGTATCTCCGCCACGGATTAATATAATTATACACAAATTGAGTGAATTTCTACCTCTATTTAGTTAAATCTTCAGGTCAAGTTTAATTAATCAAACAGCGTTTTTCAAAAACTTAAATGCCCTATAACTTGTAAAATAAATGCAGCAACTTTGGATTAATGTATATTCTGCCCAAGGATCATATGTTGACCTGAAGATTATCTTGCAGCATTTGTGCTCCTTTTAAATACATTATGCATTATTCGATAGATGCATATGCATTAGATGTTTTCTGCCAATATGTGCAATATTTTGTTTGTTCCAAGACTTATTATATAAGTTTAACATTTTTGTAAAACAGTAATTAGGGTTGTGCTGTTATAATAATTAACATGAAAAATAATATGTCTCCTACAAATATACGAATGAAATATTTCACAAAAAAAAAGTTACAGGGTGTCAGTTTCTTTTTTTATTTCTTGTTTTCTCCTTAACTTAGAACCCAGCAGTTAATTGATTTAAGCAAAATTTGATGTTGCTTAGTTTCTCTCCATGAAGTATGCAGTGATTATCATCTGAAAGAATGAGACCTGGCAATATCGTGTTTCTAATTTTAGTTGTGTGAATTGTTAATAAACAAATTTGTTGTTGTTTGTGTGTGAATAGATGTTGCATGGTACACATTTTAGTTTCATATTATATTTCATATAGATAGCAAAAACTCTTCTTTTGCGTTTAATAAAATAATTAATTTTGTAAATGGAAATTGCTTGGTACTGCAGCCTGGTCCAACCTACTTCAGAATTAATTAAAAAAGAATTTACATGAATACACTCTGAAGTTCATCATTAGTACATCACAGAGTTCACGATCGATTAACCCCTTGTATCGGTTTGTTGAAATAAACTTGATTCGTTTTTCTATGATCCTACTTATCCACTATGATAAACTATAACTAACTTATATGGGTGCTTCATTCCAATAAAAAAGTTCTTAATATCATAGGTCCGCAATCGCACCTTTTTCGAGATATAGAGTAGGTATCAAAAAGAAGTTTTTGTTCCAATTTGTATATTAAAATTCTTTCAATATGAGATCTGCTAATATCTATGTTTTCTGGCCTTCTCCTGAGTGACACCTTTGGATTATCTTGTACAGGGTCCATAACTACAACAGTAGCAGCATCGTTATAATTCTATTCTTTTTCTTATCTTTTTAAAAATTTGTATTGCATATCGATATGAAACATTACCGATTCCATAACATTTCACAAGATAAATTCGTTGCTCCAGGATTAGCATTATTAATAAAAACTATTTGGTGGGCAGTTAATAAAGATAAATATGTCGACTTCGACATTTATAAGGAAATATGCATGGGAATTATATGGCATGTAAGATAGTTAAAAATTGCGGCATCTTTTTATTTGCAAAATGTGATTATTGTTTTTTTCCTTACTAAGGCCTGTATTTAAGCATTTCTTTAATTTAAAAATATTTTAATACCCTGTATGTTTTATTACATATTAGATTACTGCCTATGGCTTCCCAAGAGAAGCAAAACTTTTTATCAAGAATAACATTTTCTCCGAAAATCAACAATTTTGCGGTCCCTATCCAAGGACACAAAGCTGACTTAACTCCTTTCTTCAAAATTAGGCTAAAATTGTGTGTATTAACTATTATCATACTTGTCCAAAAGACATCAAGATATATTTCCATGGAAACCTGAATTATAATAAACTCAATAAAAACAATATACAGTGTGTTCTACTTTGAGTAGCACCGCCATCATATTGAGGAATACATGGCAGCATTTTTACTTTTTTTTGAGCATTAAATACCGATTTGGTTTTATCAATCATGTTATCAGATATATTAAAATAAGGGTGACGTTTGCTCATAAATTTTGACGTTTGTAGGCCATCAGAATCTAGGGGACATTGCGATCAATGCCCACAAAATCTGAAAAATTGTGCATTTGTCATTATTATTTATTACATTTATTTGTTTTTATGTACAGAGAATATTTTCCACTAAACTATTTCCATCAAAATAGAACACCTGGTACAGGGTGATTCACTATATTTTGACCCCCCCTTTAACTTTTTTGTTTTAAGAGTTATAAAAAAATGTGATTTTTTATGAATTTTTCGAAAATGATAGTAAAAAAACAAATGAAGTCCAAACAAAATGGCCGCGAATGTTTTTAAAGTTAAATGGAACACCCTGTATATTTTTACATATTTGGATAGAACGTTCCCTGTCGAGCATAGCCATATAGGGTTTGTTGGGTCCATCTGTAACAATAATCAAGATACTTTAAAAAAACGAAAAGAAGGTTTTTTTATTAAGAAAATAATACATCTTGTAATTGTTAGACCTTTTTCAGGCATTTCTGCCTTTTTTCCAATTAGGTAAGGATTTACAGACTTAGTTATAATATATTTTGATATATCGCACATTGATACAGTCCAAAATACGTATAGGTAATGTAACAAAATATCACTAATTAGGCCGTGAGAGGTTTAATTACTCATGGACATTATATGGTAGGTCGTGACAGTGACAGGTAGTAATGTCTTGACAACATTGTTATTGATTGATAGTATGTATCATTATTTAATTAAAATAAATTACACAGAAGTAGAAAATTATTTAGAATTAAAATAGAGTATGGAGAAGAATTTTGCTCTATTTTAATTCCTATAATATTTCAATTTTCTACTTCTGTGTAACCCATTTTAATTAAATAATAATACAAACAGTCAAACAATAACAATGTTATCATAACATTAGGTACCTGTCACTGTCACGGCCTACCATATAACATTGTCCATGAGTAATTAGGCATCTCACGACCTAATTAGTGAGATTTAGTTAAAATACCTATACGCATTTTGGACCATATCAATGTCTGATCTGTCAAAATATATTATAATTAAATCTGTAAATCCTTACGTAATTTGAAAAAGGCAGAAATACCTGAAAAAGGTTTAACAATTACAAGATGTCTTATTTTCTTAATAAAAAAACCTTTTCGTTTTTTAATAGTATCTCGCTTATTGTTAACGATGAACCCAACAAATCCTACATGACTATGCTCGACAGGGAACGTTCTATCCAAATATGTAAAAATATACAGTGTGTTCCATTTAACTTAAAGCAGGGCCATTTTGTTTGGACTTCATTTGTTTTTCTACTATCATTTTCAAAAAATTCATAAAAACTCGTGCAACTTTTATATTTCACATTTTTATATAACTCTCAAAACAAAAAAGTTAAAGGGGGGTCAAAATATAGTGAATCACCCTGTACATCTAAGAACTAAATATGTTCACAAAAGTTATAAATAATAAATAAAAAATCCAAAGCTAGGTAATGTTAGAAAATATCAGGCAGTTATTTGGCTTATTAGACTTTATGCACAAACAAATGTAAAAACAAACAAATGAATATACTTAATACAAAAAATTTGTAGAGCAGCAATAATGTAAATATACACTTAAAACACTGAAATATTATGTTTTCAAATAAAGTTTAAATACCAATTAAACAAAAATTTAGAAAAACGTATAAAATAATTGTAATAAGAATAAGAATAATTAGAAAATATATGAAGCAAGAAAAAGAAACTGGTGCAGATGCTCATTATAAGAAAATTTTGCATATAAAATCATGATAAGACAGTACTTTTTTAATATTTCAGTTAAAACAGTACTGTATTAAAATATCACTCGAAGATACATTATAAATATTTTTTTATTTTTAGTGAAAAAAATATGATTAAGCGCATACACACACAAACTTTTCAAAAATAAAGAGAAAACCATAACATACTTAAAAAAGTTTTTAAACATATTAAGTTTGGTTCCTCCAGAAGTTGTAGTTGTTGGTGAACTTGTAGTAGATGCACTTGTGCTAGTGCTAGTATCACTGCTGACTACTGGTATTATTAAATTTCTAATAAAAAAAATGGTTATTAATAATTTTATAGAAATTTTATATTTAAATGCAAACTTTTAATTTGTATTAATAAAAATAATGATCTTCATCTTCAAGATAATCAAAGGATTGATGCCAAATTATTTCAGTCCATTCACCAGGTTTAATCATGAACTTCATGAGTACGTTACTAGAGGTGCAAATAACTTTCATATAGACAGATCCAATACCAGAAAGGTATGAACTCATTATTCGTGTGAAGACTAATTGAATATAACCACAGACAATATAGCGTATCCTCTACAGACTGCTACTTAAATGCTGGAAATTGGGAACCCGAAATGGAAGCAGGGTCTCCTTAGCCAACTTCCAGCTATAAAATTTAGCGTGGTAACTCTTCTACTTGGTAATAGGCGGCAGTTCCAACGGTGGCTTTGTTGCCAAATAATAACTGCTAAATAAATTTAATGCTTTCAATTATATAATTAAAGATATATGGAATTTATCTTGTGTTTGGAAATTACATTTGCCTTAAATGTTAAATAAAATAAATCAAGTTAGAATTAAAACTATGAATTTACCTAATTAATTATTATATCACCTTGGAATGGAAAAATTCAAAAACTCGAAATTAATGTTTTTAGATTTGTGCGTCGACTTCCAATATGGTACGATATTAACACCTATGTTTAAAAAATTGCATTATACAGGTTGTGTATCCTTAGATGGGTACTGCCTCTTATTGTTGATTTCTTTAGATAGGTAAAATAATTATTGACACAAGTGTTGCATATCATGGATGTCATTGGTAGTGCTCATATATGTGACACAAGGTGTTCAAAAAATTAACACAATGTAAGATTGCTGGAACCTCAAGTAGTTGAATATGAAATTTATTTAAAAAAAAAACAGCAAATCATCAATCAATACAGAGATAAGATAATGCGTTCGCTACTGCTGTTGCAATTTTTGACTAACTTTTTTGTTTTTCAAAATACTGACTTCGGACCGTTTCCATTCAACGCAGAACGGACAATCAGAACCAGAGTAGTGGGGAGATTTTTTTAATTATTTTTTCAATTCAACGCACCGTTTCCGAATTATAAGACCTTTTTTACTGTATCACCTCACACACCTCTTCTTTCCGAAATTTATTTTCCACATACGGACTTCGGACCTTTTCCATTCAACGCAGAACTGTCATACAGAACCAGGGGTGTGGGGAGATTTTTTCAATTATTTTTTCGATTTAACGCACCGTTTCCGAGTTATACGGCCTTTTTACTATAACACGACATACCTCTTGTTTCCAGAATTTATTTTCGACATACGGACTTCGGACCTTTTGCATTCAACGCAGAAGGAACATACAGAACCCGGGAGGGAGGGGTTGACATTTTTCAATTATTTTTTCGATTCAACGCACCGTTTCCGAGTTATAAACACTTTTTTATCCTATGACGTCACACACCGTTGGTCCCGATTTTTTTTTTGACATGCGGGTTTTGACGTTTTTCACTCGTTCACCATGGGAGATTTATTTGTTCACCATGGGAGATTTTTTGATACTTAAGAGTCTAAGCAAATACTGTTTTTTTTTCTTTCATATATTGTGACACCCCGCTCTGCGTCACCCACCGAGTGCTCTACTCAGAACCAAGGGGAAATTTGTTTATATTTCCAGCCATTTCCGAGTTACGAGCAAAAACCATTTTTTTTTCTTATACTGTGTGACATCATAGATCGATAACGAAGGCTTAACAAGGCCACGCGCTCTACCCCACGTTCCCTCCCTAGGTGTCCTGAAATTGCTGGGGAGACTCCTGAAGACAGCAGAGAGAGAGAGAGAGATAAGCTCTCTATGAGGACAGAGTCACTCTATCTCTATCGCACACTATAACTCTATCTCTCTCGCACACAATCAGACAAAAACGACAGAAACGAACCTTCTTTTAAAAATACATGGGATTTATCATTATTAGAATAACCCATTTTAATTTAAAAAATTAAAAAAATTACAATGGGTTATTCTGATGACGAAAAATAAAACATAATTAACTGTATTATTCAAATAACAATAATGTGCAAAAGTTCTTCAGGAATATTGGCAAATTTATTTTGGAGGAAGAATCCCGTCAACGAACACTAAAAAATATTATTAGAAACCTTAGGTGGCCAGAAAACAGCCCCGATCTCATTGTCAGTCCTTTAGACATTTTTTTTTTACCTGAAAATTTGCAAGTATTAAAAAAAAATACAGGACGAAATGCTTGATAATTTTGAATTTGTTTTTGAAGCAATTAATAGTAAATTGAAACATATTTTCAACTGTATCATCACAATCACTTGCATGTTGATTTGTAAAAATTGTAGGTATATTAATGTTATTTCGTTTTTAGTTATTCTCCTTATGTTGTTGTAAAGGTTAGTTATAAAAAGCGTTGTTTGTTATTTTCATAAGGATGAATTTTATTTTTTTTTAATGATTTTTTTTATTTTAAACATATATATTTTATGCCAGTAAATTTTGATGTCGAATGAAATAAAGGAAAAGTCGTACATTTGTATTTAAAGTTTCTTTCTACCTTTAATTATTAAACCTATAAGTGGATGTCAAAATACAAAAAAAAACTGTACCTACATCCGCGACGTACTAATAACCCACCATATTAAATAAATTTATCGTCATCATCAAATATTAAAAAAATTATATTACAAGCTGTTTAAAATATTCTTACAAATTTTGTTTATTTGGAAATATATTTTCTGCAGTATTTCAATACCAAAAAATGAAAATAGTAGGTAGTTAATTAACGAAATTGTGATAAAATAACTTAATTGTAACACCACTGCAGAATATTATATGATACATACATAGATATTCGTTGATTCTTTAAAAACATTTTTATCAATACCTACATCATACATTGAAGTAAATACAGTAACGCAAAAAACAGATGTTGATAAAAAAGTGTACAAAAGAAATCCGTAAGTACGCCTGGCAACATTACCAAAGTTTTGTTTATATGTTGCTAGGATACGCTTAGAGATGCGGGCCGCTGTATTTGATTCTTCCTAAAATTCTGCTGGTGGTGTACTCTACCGGCAATTCGGAAATTTAAAACTGCTGGCCTATTCCAGGAGCGGTCTGTGGCGATAGCTATTTTGTCTGTGATATAACTAACTCTTTACCAAATGAAGTTAAAGTAGGTATGTGATAAGCTTATAATATTTAAAAAAAAACTTTTAAAATACTTGTGACAGTTGTGAATTTTGTGGTATTTGATGATAAATGTAAGTCTGAATGAACATATTGTGATATGACTATAGTTTATTGTATTTTTATCAATTTTTTTGTTATGTCTTTAAGAATGTTTGTGAATATTAGGATTTCCTATTTAAATAAACTACTACTACTACAACAAACTGAAGCATTGAAAAAATATAATTGAGGAACAAAAACAAACAAAAGTATGGATACAACATAGTTAAAAATAACAATTATAGTCCAGGCGAATTAGGTTTTTTGTAAAAAATCATGTCTAAATTGAATTTTATGGGCTTAAAATTAAGTAAAAAAAATACATAAAACAAAAGCATAAACAAAACGTTTCGAAAATCTTTTGTAATTCAAAAAATTGGTATAATAATTAACAATTTTAACGAAATTTAACAACAGATAGGATTTTAACTTTTTTTTATCAATTTGGCGAGTAAAATATACAGAAACTGTTCAAAATTACGTCTGTTGGCTTGAATGCACGCATTACATCTTCTAATCATNGACCGTTTCCATTCAACGCAGAACGGACAATCAGAACCAGAGTAGTGGGGAGATTTTTTTAATTATTTTTTCAATTCAACGCACCGTTTCCGAATTATAAGACCTTTTTTACTGTATCACCTCACACACCTCTTCTTTCCGAAATTTATTTTCCACATATGGACTTCGGACCTTTTCCATTCAACGCAGAACTGTCATACAGAACCACGGGTGTGGGGAGATTTTTTCAATTATTTTTTCGATTTAACGCGCCGTTTCCGAGTTATACGGCCTTTTTAATATAACACGACATACTTCTTGTTTCCAGAATTTATTTTCGACATACGGACTTCGGACCTTTTGCATTCAACGCAGAAGGAACATACAGAACCCGAGAGGGAGGGGTTGACATTTTTCAATTATTTTTTCGATTCAACGCACCGTTTCCGAGTTATAAACACTTTTTTATCCTATGAGGTCGCACACCGTTGGTCCCGATTTTTTTTTGGTATGCGGGTTTTGACGTTTTTCACTCGTTCACCATGAGAGATTTATTTGTTCACCATGGGAGATTTTTTGATACTTAGATAAGAGTCTAAGCAAATACTGTTTTTTTTTTCTTTCATATATTGTGACACCCCGCTCTGCGTCACCCACCGAGTGCTCTACTCAGAACCAACGGGAAATTTGTTTATATTTCCAGCCATTTCCGAGTTACGAGCAAAAACCATTTTTTTTTTCTTATACTGTGTGACATCATAGATCGATAACGAAGGCTTAACAAGGCCACGCGCTCTACCCCACGTTCCCTCCCTAGGTGTCCTGAAATTGCTGGGGACACTCCTGAAGACAGCAGAGAGAGAAAGAGATAAGCTCTCTATGAGGACAGATCACTCTATCTCTATCGCACCTATAACTCTATCTTTCTCGCACACAATCAGACAAAAACGACAGAAACGAACCTTCTTTTAAAAATACATGGGATTTATCATTATTAGAATAACCCATTTTACTTTAAAAAATTTTAAAAATTACAATGGGTTACTCTGATGACGAAAAATAAAACATAATTAACTGTATTATTCAAATAACAATAATGTGCAAAGTTCTTCAGAAATATTTACAAATTTATTTTGGAGGAAGAATCCCGTCAACGAAAAATAAAAAATATTATTAGAAACCTTAGGTGGCCAGAAAACAGCCCCGATCTCATTGTCAGTCCTTTAGACACATTTTTTTTACCTGAAAATTTGCA